CATATTGAAGCTAAAAATAAACGCGTTGTGGAGGCTTGTGCTTTGCTTGAAGGTGTATAATTAAGAGATTCTTTGCACGATCTCACCAGAAGACTACTGATGCTTCTGGTTGTGCTGCTGCCGTTTGACTTAAATACGGCCTTCAGGCGGGCGCACTCCACGAGCCATTCCGCCTGGTCTGGGGAGAAAATTGGCTGACCTTTCGTTTGTAAAATGACAATCATCAGCTGAGCTGGGACTCATTCTTGCAAAAGTCTTATCGACTTTCACTCGAGACCTTTGCGAGAGTGAGTACCGACGTTGACGATGTTTGTGATGTGAGGAAGGAAAGTTTAATCGGATTTCGCTCGAAACGAAGACGAATGCCTCGGGGGTCGTATTAAAGCCAAGCAGATGCAATACAACGTGCATCGGTCATCGTCTTCTGGTGAGATCAGCCATCGAATATCCTCATCATGTACCTTCATACGAAATGTATGCTAGTTCAGGAAATATTATTTTTTTTAATAACATAAATATGAGTATTGTTAATTCACTTTTAATACAATTCGTGTTAGCATCTCACAAATAAATCCGCAACTAAAATTATTTTTAAACCATTATCCCAAACTAATAAATATGAATAATCTGCGTGTGCACTTAAAAGCAAGGAGAATCAACTAGTAAATAATTTTGTTTAAATCCATGCTACTTAAAGTAATCACTACAATTTACATAAATTAGTCTTTCATAGTTAAAACTTAAATAAAATCAATAGTAGCACAATAATGCAGTGTGATGAAAAACTTCCACATTACTTTAGATGACCTTTTTGAGCTTCTTGACAATAATTTTTATAAATATATCAAGTAAAGTGCCACTGGTAGGGTAGCAAAATAATCTAAACTCTTTCGACCGATTGAAAGAGGATAATGTCATCTAGAATGGATTATAGGCGTCTTGGACCCGAGGAATTTTCTTATCTAAGATGGAACACTTGTAATACTTAACCAATAATTTACCTCATGATTGCAGATTTATAAAATGATTAATGCTTTATCAGAAAAATCCTTCAGCCACAGCTGGAGTGTACGTGGATTATACTCGCCCTCTGAAGAGCCAGGTAGACCTGCCCTAGCACTATCATACTACTTATTATTCCAAAATATATAATGTTAGTAGTATATGTCGTTTACTTTTACTGCGTGTAAACATGGCAATAGTCACATGCAAAACTAGAACCAGTTAAAGATTGTCTACTGTGAGATTTTGTTACTGACATATGCTTCCGGCAGCATAGATGCAATGATGCATTGAATGGACTTAATTTCTCACGGAGGGAACAAATCGGCCATGATGGAGTGAAAAGTCTGGGCTATTTGATGCTTCGAACAGAGAGTAGCGTTGAGACGATTGCGGCGAGAATGTGGGCAACAAGAAAGGCTAATTGATAAATACTAAAATTGCAAATGCATTTATGAAATTAGGCATATAACACGAGCAAATAAAATGGCAAATGAACTTTTGCTGTATAGAAGCGGTGATAGTAATACTTACATGCTGACTCAATGCCAGGTAAATAACATAAAAATATTCTTTTTTGCTTTTCTTTGCATAAGGTATAAATACAAACTTCGACAAAAGGTTCATTAATGTATAAGCAGGGTAAAAATGTTAAACAAATAAGACATCGAAATGTCATAGCGGGAAAATTGCTCTAAGATCTGATTAGAAACGAGTTGGTTTGGCGAGAAAAAGACTAACTGATACTATCTAAATGAGCTATTGCGTCTCCTAGGCATGTCAGAGCTAAGCGAAAATATTTTACTATATTTCACTTCTTTGCATTCGCCGGGCATGCGCAAAGTATTGGCGGAAGACCAACCTTTCTGGTTGACTGCATACAAAAGGGTTCGAGATGTTGGCATTTGGGTCTGAGTCCATCCGGCATCTGAGCGCCATCTCGGCACCTCAAATCTGCGTCCAGATGCTGTCCGCTGATGGACTTGTACTCTGTCCCCATCACCTCATTGCTCCATCGTCCCTCCGGCTCCCGGTAGCCGTAGCCATAGTCGTAGGCGAAGTTGTTGCTACGGCAACGGTAGATGTTCTGTTGCGAGACAGCGCGTCGGTGCGAGATGGCCTCTCGGGGCTGGCTGAACGGGTTGTCGAGGGTGTGTTGGTTGTCCGAGGGACGCGTCACATTCATGCACATCATGCTGGGGGAAAAGAGGTTTGGAATAAGTTTGGAAAAACAGGTTTCAGACAATCCCAAAAAGGCTCTATGGCAAACCCGTCCTGGAGTAGGAAGTAGGCATTTATCGTCTGAACTAAATTTCTCCACATTTTGTAGAATCTGGTAGAGCCAACTTCTACAAGCTGATGAAAAGCGACCCAAACCATTTCCAACATTAATGCCAACATTTGGCTGTTGTTCGAAGTAGCTCCAGTCCATAAGTGGTCTCCTTTGCTCAAGGCGTATTATCATAAACTGGTCATTTGCATAACGAGGAATAAACGGGAAACTTTAGACATTCACCATCCTCAACCTAAACATTTTAGGCCGCGGGTGCACAAGTCGTCCTAGTGCCTGAAGGCATCGGATGGAAGACTTATAAATAGACAAGAATCACATATTAAACACAGCCAGCACAATGATTCTCAGCATCACATAAGGATGTAACAATGATACAGTAAAAGTATACCGCCAAAATGGTTACTATCCAGCGACATTAGGCCGCTTAAGAGATTCACAATCTAACTAAAATGAAATGATTGTATTCCTGTTTTGTATGATTAAACTAGCGTATTCCCATCCGCCTGCTTAATTCCCGAGATCTGTTGATTGTTCCGACGTACATAAATCTTAAAAATAACAACTAAAAACAAGCAAATACGGGATATAAAAAGTCTTCAGCATACTACTTTTTAGCATGACATGTGGAGCCTACCTGACATTCATGCTGCCCTTTGACTGTTCGCTGTTGATGCTGACATTGCTCCCGTTTGAAGAGCGTCTACTCGAATTCGAGATTACAACAAAACGGCCAGGCCGAACCACATTGGTACCGTTTTTCATGGCTCCGGCATCACGTTTGGTACCATTGCACTCGGACCGTTCGATATTTGTTGCCCAGACTGCCGGTCGTTCAATCTCTTTTGTCCATCCACCAAAGGTCTGTCCACTTTCACTTTTCCAGTCGTAAATTCTACGTTCAACGGCGTGTCGTAAGGACTGCTCATTTTCCTTTCTGACGTCCGTCTCGCTGGTTGAATTGGAATAGGGCTTAAGATCAGGTCCGTTGGAAATCGCCGAGGCATGAGAGGAACCCTTCGGTTTGATAGTTCCCCTCGCGTAAACAAACGAAGAGCCGACAGAGTTTACCTCGGAATTATGTGCGTTGCTCAGAACAAACGATTCGTTTGTCTAAAGAGTAATAAAAATGATCGTAACAATGCAAGGCAAGAAGAGATACATAAAAAGACATGGGAGAAAATAAATGGGAAAGACCACATTGGAAGTGGAGAAAAAATTCCTGGACTTGGGCATGGCTTACTTGGCAATGAAAACGGTAAGAAGCGACAATAGTTCTAAATGGAACTAGAATTATAATAAAAATATTCTAACATTTAAATATGAATGGCATATTATACGAAGCGAAACCTATTATCTTAACGATATGTCAGGGGCAAAGTTGGAATAGGGCTAAAAAGAATTTACTTATATTTCATACTTGCAAATTTAAGGAAATAGGACCAGTTTGAAAATAGGAGGGAATTAAAGATTTTTAAAAACGGAGCAGTATACAGTGAATATTTTTAATTTTGTAGTTGATAAGTAGAACAACTTAGAAGAGAAATAGATCAAAACCGTAAATACTTTGTCCAGTTAACTTAGACAAATTAACTCTTTTTTTTGAAAAGGAATATACCTACTTTACACATATGAAATCAAAAGTTATAAGTGACAAAAAAACGGTATGCACAAAAAATTAAAATGTAATTTAAGTACAAATTAATTTGAGTTAGAGAAAATTTGATTGCCCTAATCAGAAAGTATATTAAGGAGTATAAATAATTATCAAATAAAATACGAGATACTTCTTAATGCTAATTCAGATCTTGCCATATTATTAGGAAAACTAAGATCTCAATCCGTATTAACAAAGCCAATATGCATAACCTGAGACAACATAGAATACATGGAATGAGTAGAAAGGTAAAAGCAATTTTTTGCAGTGATTTAAAAGTCCAAGCATACCAATAGTTTAGTTAAGAATTATTGATTAGAAACTAGTATTCCATAATATATGTGATAAAAGACTGTCTTGAAAAATAAAAATCCACTATACAATAGAATATTAACTTCAGTTTTAGCTCATTGAAATGGATTGAATTAAGTCGAATAAATTATATGAAAATTTAGTGAAACAGAATTGAGTGTGTATTTAAAGGGGCGAAAATAAGCAGGTATTGGAATGTAACGGAACAAACATACTAATAGTTATTTAAAATGCAGTAAATAGCGCAAAATTGAATATGTTTCAAACAAATGACTTATCTTGAACTAAATAACAATCGAAAGGAATGCTGTGAGTTGGAGTATGAAGTGAACAAGCAATGCCACGAAAAAGCATAAATTGATATCCACATACAAAGAATTATTCTCTATTCACTTCGAATGTGGAGATAATTGTGACTTTCAGAAAGGAAGGAAGCAGATAAGAAAGCACCTGTGAGGCTTTATTTGTGATTTGCTTTGCCGTCGCTTGGAATATATATTATTTATTTTCAGCGAAATTCAAAATTTCTCTGAGCCCTGTCGGATACCATCGAATAGATGTTATATCAAAAAATAATTCCGATCGGTTTAGCCGAGACAAGATGTGATGAAGTTGTTTAGTTTTAGAAGCCTACAATTAAACGATACTACTATTTTAATGAATAAGAGTATGCCTAAACAGTCGTTTTTTAGTGATTGTTCGTAAATGATGGTTTTTTGCTCTGAAGATATTTGTCGCATTACAAAAGAAATTCAAGCATGGATAGATCGGGCTCACAGGACGGCGAGCCAAAGTCACCTTCACACAATCCTGTAGTCAAATATCCAAGGGAATCCTCCTTTTCTATGTCTGTTGAGGACAATTTACAAATACTTTCCATTCCCTTTTTCCGACGGCATAAAAGTTAGGCCGACATTAATTTTTTGAATAGAGCTATACTCATCTGATTGTGGGAAAATTCTACTACCAGCCCTTCATCACCTTAAACAAAATGGGATGAATACATCTCATACTACTGATTTACTGATGGTCTCGAAACTCTACTTACAAACAAAAAATAAGCATGCAAGCCAAACGGATTGTAGATTGGCTCATTCTGAGAGCAAAGATAATAAAATTAAAAAAAAAGAATATGTAAAGTAATAACGGCTCCTTCGCGGCAATTTATTAAAATGAAATAAGATTGAGTGCATTCTAGATGGAGTTCTCTGTAGGTGCACATGTATATATAAATGTATGTATGTGTGCGCGATGTGGGGGAGATAAGGATGACTTAACACCCGAACTATTGGCTCAGTGCCACCAAGGCTGAAATAAGAAATGAGAATCTACACTTTTCGCTCAAATTACATTCTTCCACCTCCATCTACAGACAGAGAATTTTTATCCGGCCTGTGAGGAGACCCATAAATGGAGCCACTCAAGTCTAAAAACGCACCAAATGACAAAACTTCCAAATAGAATAGGCCAATTTTAGCTCAATTAGTGTGGTTAAGGGAACAAATTCCGGTAGGTCTTAGTTGAGGCTTCGAGAATTCTCGGTTTTAGTACTCGAACGA